TTTGAGTGTAAATTGTGATGTCATTATGTTGAAGTAAACAAAGGAGTCCAATCAAAAACATTTCTGGTAAGAGGAGTATGTGTGAGAGAATCTCCCTCTGGCGTGAACTTTGGGATTTATGCTCTTGCTGACATGCACAAAAACACAATACAGGACGCTAGCCTGGTGTCACTGTACTTTGGTAGTGCAAAATGTGCAATTTGTTTTGATAAGTAGTATAAATACCAGACAAAGAGTTCCAGCATGTTAGAATATAATATAAAGTGTTTTTTAGTGTCTTTATGAGGAACAGTAAAGAACACCTAATTATGGTGTTGCTTCGGTTATATTCGAGGTAATTATTTTCACAAACTTCTGTCCAACAGCGGTATAGTGGAAAATCTTAACCTCAGTTCTGCTTCCATTTCATACTAACAATGTAATCACTTGTTACAGACAGGGGCCACATGGAGTTTAAACCATCTTGCAAGATGAAATGCACAATGAATTGTGGACCTGTGTGACAAATATGGCACCTTCTTGTGAACCACATAGGTATTATGAGATGAAAATGGTGTTATAAAGGGGCACAGCCAACTCAAGTGTATTTAGTTGTCCTACCTTACTATAACATGTTGTGCAAATCCAAGCCTTATAAACTCAGCAGAGTGTTCATTTATTTAAATAATTTGTAACCATTTTCAAGGCTGAAGCAGCTAACCAGGGTTAAGTAGCTACTACTGTAGCTTTCCAGCATTTTCTATGTGGCCTGATAAAATGTTCCTGCTGTTGTAGTTATTTTCCTGATAAGTGCCTCCTATGTAAATTAACTAGCATTCTGACTATGGCTTTGTATTTTCAGCTAATATTTGGGAGCTATAAGCTGTAGACGTGAAAAACATTGGGTTGAGACCGTCAGTCTTTTTTAGTTTAGTAACCGTGGGGAGCTGGAACATCTCTTAATAGTTCTTTAAGACGAGGCTGGAGGCCACCTCCTCACCACCGCTCCATGATAGAGCTGCAGCTGTGGGAGTGCAGTTCAAGGTTAAAGCAGAGCAGTCTAATTGGCGAAATGGCTCACACCGTCCTGTCCTTGAGATAAGAAGGTCTAAAAGAGGAGTTTATGTTCAACCAGACTATATGTCGTGGGGCAAAGTCAATGCCTGGCTTTACTCTATTTTTTGCTTTTCATTAAAATGTCTTTTAAGACAGCACATGATGTTCTATTGCTTTGGTTGCATTCCACCCCCTGAAATGAAGCTCCACACATCTACAGTTTTGTAGTTGAACATGGCTTGCATTTTTGCATGTTTCAGAGAGATTGTAGTGTTTAAAAAAAAACGTTTTCTGTTCACCATAGACAACTGAAAAGTTTACTTTTCCAACTTTAAAATGTATTTGATTTTTTTTACATCCATGTCAAAAAACAATATCAGCCCAATGGACATCTTTTTATATTTCTCAAAAAAGGATATAATTTGCCTTTTTATAGGACATTTTGCCAGCAGTCCACTGGTTCTTTTTATTAACAACTGCCTTTTAAAAAGTTTCTGGCCACAGCAGGATATATTCGCATCAACCACTTTCAGTATTTAGACTGCGTCTTTGAGTTAGAGGAGGCAATGTTTACTCTGCCTTTTATACTAAGCTAACAGTACTGTTTTGTGTGGGAGCTGTTAAAATAAATCAATGTGACAGCTATGCTGAAAGTCACCTGAATTGATTAATGCCACTTTCAAAAAAATAAATTGCCATCAAAACTATTCCCCTGTGAGGTGAGCTTTGGGGCCATCACTTTGTTAAAGTGTTTAACTAATGTACTAAAACAACAACTTACACACAACTAAAGGCATTTTACATTTTACTTTTTCCCTTTAAAGCAAGGAACAATAATCTAACACAAAAATAACTTTATTCTTAATTATTGAGTGCTGCAACATTAAAGGTGAACTTGATTGACATGACGTAGACTGACATGAATGTTTTTCATGTGAAGGTATGTGTACATTTGGATCAGGGTTACTTGCCGATGAATGCCGCTCTGTGTTCACTGATAAAGACATTAGACATTTACACAGTGTGCTACCTTGCCTGGCCATTCATTAAAATCTCTGAACCAATGATTAACATAACTTCCACCCACTGGTTTCAATAACCTGGAGGGAAAAATCTGCCTAATGATATATTTTTGTGAAAGTAAAAATAATTCTCAACTGATTGTGGTTGTTTTCTACAAGATTTGTTTTACTCCTGTATGTTTTGTGTAAAATATTTTTTCTATGGTTCTCCATAGAATATTTTCCACGTTTTGAAAGAACCTCTGGTGCATATGTGCTTGACTCTTGCATCTGCTAAATAAGTACATCTATACTAACTTGGAGAGCAGATTTCGTATTTAAAAGCCACACTTTGGAATCTTTTTTGATGGCAAACCATGTGAGCAACATTTTGGTGCCTCAGGCCAAACACCCAATATTTGACATCAAATAATTGGTGATAATTATGCAAATGTTAAAACAAATGTTACTATCATAGTTACCATGGAGACAGCACACTTACATTCACAGGAAGCTGTTTTACTTTTGTGGATCTGATGTCCACCCTCCAGCAGAAGTACCCAACAAATATTATCTATAATATAAATTCTCATGAATATATATACAATATATATGTATACGCTTAGCCAAGCCCCGACCTTACTTCATCTGTCCATACATTTCTATCTTAACATGAACATCATTTATATATTTAAAAAACTGTGGTGAATATTTAGTATTGGGAAGTAGAAAATGAACAATTTGCTATAAGTTGGGTATGTTGCACAGTGGAAGTTTTCCTGCAATTCCTCCGAGTTCTACTGCGAAAAACCCCCAGCATGATTGTGTGTTTGCGACCATGTGTTTGTGTATGACGGTAGCAAAAGGTGGCCCTAAAGCTGTAAATTGTGAAGCATCTGTGTAACAGTTTTCATGCAGTGTGTCTTTATCCCAGCTGTTAAACACATTAGCTTCCTAAGAGTCACCATTAGTTGTTTACAAAATATCAATACAATTTACAACATAAAATACTGCTGTGTAACTCTGGGTAGTCTCCCTGTCTCCTCCTCCTCTTAAAATGCTCTTTCAGTAGCTGTTGTGTGTAGAAGAGTTTACAGGATATTGTCCGAGTGATGAAGTGGATTCAAAATTGCAAACTCAAATTTGTATGGAAACACACTCTAATATTCTCAGTTGGTCTATGCTTAGTAATGCAAACATAAAGTACATATGCCATGCTAATGCACCAAAGGTTTCCTCGTCCTCTTGACAAACCCTACCCTGTTCCTGGTGAAATGTGATGCCTGAATGATTTGATTTGGCCAACTCTCAGGAAACCACTTCTTCAAAGCAGCTTAACAGAAGCCCAGGCTTGACGCTGGCATTACCAGCATGCAGCAAATAAAAACGGCTGCTATTATAATGATATTAATGAAAATGATTTGGCACTATTGTTCCCCGCGGTCTCTGTCTCTGATATGAGTACATTCTAGATAATTGTCCTGCAGTGTGAAGTACACTATATTTAAACACTGGTGTAATGTAGGCTCTTGTCTTTGTGATACTTCCATAGGCAAAGATATTTGTCTTGTCCGGCTCCGAGCAGGCTGATTAAACACTAAATGGTTTACACTGAGAGATGATGTCATAGCTTGAGGCTCTCATTTGCTGATGGCTCCCTGAGGGCTCAAACCTCAGCCCTGCTGGAGAGCGCTGACCTCCTTTCTCTCCACAAAAGGAGTCAGACTCGCCCTGCCCAGCTTTAAACTACCAATAGCACTCATTGACAGACAAGAAAAGAGACAGTCATTTGGTCTTCACTGTGCCTCCCTCTGTGCCCCCTCCGTTCCCACCTCTGTCAACTTTAGGCCGAGTTGACCCAACTAGCATTACATTTAACCAGCACCTTTGTAATTGCTCTGTGGGCTCTTGCAGGGCATTATGCTGGGAGCTCTGCTTGCCATGGGCGTGTGAATGGGAATGGAGAGGGGGTTGGAGCCTTGTGACTCTCTCTGTCTTTCTCTCTCCTCCCCCTAAGCCCTTTTCAGACATGAAAAAGTATATGCAACATTGCTGGCTTCATCTATCTATTGATGGCAATTAGTCATTTAGAAATGATTTCTACATTAATGTTCCTCACTGTGGGAAACATTTAAAAGGTTTTATCTGATATGAGAAGTTTGATCTCCTCAACAATTAAAAATTAGCTCTTTTACAATTTATTAACCCTGACTTTGTGCATTTAAGATGACGATTTAGATAATTCCTTACAGTGGTCTTAGTAGGCGATGCAAGTAATCTTACTCTCTCTCAATTCAGACGAGTGTTTAAAGTGATACAGAGATGTTACTAGGTCACAAGGTGCATTTCTGAAAGGGGCTCTGGTGAATGAGCAGGTTGATCTCTGGCTTCTTGACGCTTAGTGGTGGAGAAAAGGTAGGAGGTGATTTGGTATTAAGCTGCAGCGATACAGATATGTGGAGTCGGGACAGGGCTGTGCTGAGAGGCAGTTTTGTCTAATTGCCTCCTTTCAGCTCTACCGAAGCACACAGAGAGCGAGAGAGAGAGAGAGAGAGAGAGAGAGAGAGAGAGAGGGAGAGACTCTTGCTTCCCAGCTGACACTCGCAGTGCTGTCAGACGCGTGTTTTTATGTTACTTGCAAAAGCTCTCTTAGGCAATGCTGTGTACTCAGCCATGCATACGCTACAGATCTTGTCCAAACTCAAAACAACTTACTGCAAACAGGGGGGTAAGTTATTTTTCTTAAGTTTTATGATTAATGAACAGCTTTCTCAAATATGTACAATCTGGAGTATACTTGGTACATTGTTCTCTAGTGAAATAGTGCTTGCAAGGGGTAGATAACTGGTGTACACTTTGCCTCACTTTTCATACTGTTCATTGCATTACTTCACGCCAAACACAAGATTCAGTTTCCATTCTTTAGTGATTGCAAAAGTTTGTAACTCAATATTTTTTTTGCAGGTAATCAAAGTTTATAATGAAGACAACACCAGCAGAGCAGTCGAGGTTCCCAGTGACATCACTGCCCGGGACATATGCCAGCTGTTCGTCCTGAAGAACCACTGCATTGATGACCACAGCTGGACTCTTTTTGAACACATCTCTCATCTGGGAATAGGTGAAATATTGTGTCCTGTAGAAATATCCTTATCAAGTCTCAAAAAGTACTTTAAAGTAGAGACAGTAAATAATCATACATTTGATTTGGCCATATTTATAGTACTAGTATTAACCATGTGATGGTAATGTTGTTAGTCTTGTGGGTGAGGTTTGAGGATTTGATGGGAGGAGTGGGGGGTGGGGACGTGTAGATACTGTAAATGTGAGTGAAAAGGAGCCCTGTCTAAATTGTTAACCAATTCAGTGCCGAATGAAATCCTAAAGATAATGAGGGGGGGGGTTATGATTGTGTCTTTATCACTTGAGGCATCAATTATAAATCCCCTTGCATAAAACATTGTCCGTCATCCTCCATTCGCCTTGGATTAGAAAGTAGGTAGTGCAATGCATGATAAGATGATAACTGTCTCGGGTATTTAGATTTTCTCTCACTTTTATAATATGTCATCCTGCTAGTATTGTGCTGTATGTGATGCTGCTGATCGGGTTATTTCACTTAAAGGACCACCAGCTTAACTAACGCTGAAATTAATGATCCAAAGCTTCTTCTTTTCTATGGTAATTGACATTCAAACATCTCTATTCAAATGTTTTTAAATAAATGATTCAATATGTAAAAAAATCAACAAGTAGCCCATTATAATGAGGACTAGCAATCCCACAATATTCACTATACATCATCAACATAATTTATTACCAGTTAATCTTAGAGCAATGTTTGTTGTTTGTGTGGAGGTGCGTTCAAAGACGTTCAAAGCCCATTTATATTTTTTATTTTTGGATGGCCTGAATACCCAACTGAAAGGGTTTGTTTTAAAAATATACAACCATTTAAACTACTTTGTAGGTCTTAAATAGCTTGCTTTGAAGAACAATTTGAATTTTTCATCTATCCTGCATCCAAAAATGTGCTGTGTGGTTTACCCGTTTATGTAACATATACAGTAGTGTGATGCGCATCAGCATTGCATTCAACTATGTGTTGTATGAAGGACATCAAATGTAGTTCTTTTTAAAATAAGAGTGAAAAATGAAACAATCAGTCAATGGTATATTAACACTGATCTGATCTGATTGCATAAAAAAGATTTCTCAGCTGCTTTTCCACACTATTTCACACTTTACCTAATTCATACATCTGTTTTTCTCTAGTCATCAATTTATTTGTTCTCTGTTGCCTAATCATTTAAAGTGAAACAAATAGTTTACATATTCATAGTTTAACTTGTCCAGATAAACAAATGGCTCAAATGCTTCTTTGTAGGTTTACAATGTTCCCCTGATCTTTTATACCCCTTATAAAGAACCAATGTAATACATTTAATTTGAAGATACATTGTTTTCATGGTATTGAGTTCATATTAATAAATGTTTATTGTGTTATTCAATTAAATCATCTACAAAATAGGGCTGTAATTTTTCCGAATTATGTTATCAGTCATTGACAGTACAGCATGAATAGTTACTTGTTGTGTCATGACGTATTCACCCTGATGTTGTGCAATGCTCCTTAACATGGTTCTCTTGATTTATTTCTTTTTTATTATTTCAAATTCTGGGAAATAATTAAGTTTCATGTTGAACTGATTTGCTCGCGTTCTCATCCAGCTGTTAAACATTGGTATGAAGTTAATAATCAAATTCTGTGCCTCAAAGTAAAGCAACACAACTCTAGCCAGGAAATATTTTGCAGACGTCTTTTCATTAACTTTGGTTTGGTGTTACAGCTGAATCTATTCAGCCTCTGTCTTTTATAAATGAAGAAGAGAGAAACACGTGAAGTTGATATTTGTTTTCTTTCCTACTTGTCTCACTAGAGAGAACCATTGAAGACCATGAGTCTGTTATGGAGGTGCTATCCGGCTGGGGAATGGACACAGACTGCCGGCTGTATTTTAGGAAGAATTATGCTAAATACGAGTTCTTCAGGAAACCCCTGGTGAGTTTGTGATGAGAGTAAACTGTATGTATTGTAATGGGTTTATGCACATCATTTTGCCTTAAATATCCTTTCTATTGTACTAACCCACCTACATTTCCTACCACCCTGTAATAACTGCGCTCATATTGGTAGGACTTTTTCCCGGATCACATGGTCTCTATATCCAGTGAAACCAACGGCATGGTGGATCACTCTCAGCTTATACAGGTAAGTTCTTTCTGTTTACTCTGCACTTTCTTTGACTTTGAGTGCCAATTGTTTAAATGTGCTATGTACCTTAAGATTATACTGTACACACCCACGTATGGACAAATATTTCTCTTCCCAACACAGACCTTTCTCAACTCCAGCTCATGTCCAGAGATACATGGACACCTCCATGCCAAAGAGCAAAGCAGGAAATCTTGGAAGAAGTTCTATTTTGTCCTGCGTAGGTCGGGCCTTTATTTCTCCAATAAGGGAACTTCCAAGGTCAGTAAAGCTAAATGACTCATCTACAGAATGTTCTCTACATGTTGTGAAATTCAAAGCAATATAAAAATCAGACATCATGTGTAACTTGTTGCAGACAATTAAAGCCATTCTGTTGCATGCAATCCTATTTTGATACTTCCAGTATGTTCAACTGCATTCGTTTGGTCCATTCTTACTTTAACTAAATGCACGTAGTTCACACCGTTAACATCCAACATGAAAAATGCATGGCATCCATTAGAAGATTACAATTATTATATATGAAGGTACATCTTGGCCCTCTGATGGATTATGGGGTCACCAGTTCATCTTCTGTATAAATCTCACTCGTGCTGAGAGAGGGCAGTGCAACAGGTTGAGCTTGATTTTCCGTAGGTCAGCTGGCACATCATCCAGGCAGAAACAGGACTCTCAGAGCTGCTGACAAGTGAAGCTTATACCTAGGCACCAGCCGTGCCAACACAACCACTTCTCAACTGCTTTCATTTCCTACAACAGTAGACCTTTTGTTGTCGGGTGCAGGGAAGCTTTGGTATGGCGCCCACTTTAACTCTCGCAGGTTTACCATTCATCTTTGGTCAGACACGTTGCTTTTCAGTCAGTACAGACACTCACGGCTGAGGCGTTACTTTAAATAAGGAAGTGGAGTTGGTGCGTCACATGAACAGCAGAACAATGGCAATCTTTGTGCTTTTTTCCCATCTTGGTAACTTATCTTTGGCGTGTTGATAGTGTCTTAATACAGCCCCTATCAATATGTCTAATTGTACCCTTATCTCTGTCATGGCTTTTATAGGCTAACCACACCCAGAATGACTGATAACATTGTTATTTATCATATATATTGATATATATGCACTGTTTAAATGTTAGTATGCTTCACCTCGGCCCTAAATAAGCTATTATATTCCTTTTACCGGACTGGAAATCGGGTTTGATTCAAATGTATAGTACATTGCATTTATTCACTGTTAACAGATTTCAAACAGGACCATGCCCCATTCATTTCTAAAAGGAAATTACTTTCTTGTGTTTTTTTACATAAAGAGGCAAGAATGTGACATAAACAAAGACCAAACATGTGTCTCTCACATACATTAGATTTCCATGTTGTGGAGATAAATATCTGACTCTTATTTTATGATGACTTATCTTTTTTTTTACAGGAACCGAGGCATCTCCAGTTCATTGCAGACTTCAGTGACAGTGATGTCTACACAGTGTTGTCAGCCAAAAAACGACATGGAGCACCTGCAGATTACGGCTTCTGTGTCAAGGTGCCTTCACTTCCTCAAAATGCCAAAGACTGTACAAAATGAGCTGAAGTTTTGTATTGATTACTAGCGTGCTGAACTCTTTTGTCTTCTTGTAACTTCTTTCTCCAGCCTACAAAGGGTAGTTCGGGCCGGGACTTGAAGCTGCTCTGTGCGGATGATGAGCAGACCAGGACCTGCTGGATCACAGCCATGCGCTTGTTAAAGGTTGTCTTGCTGATCGCTAACCGGTGAAGTCTTAGAGGAGGAATGCTGAGTCAGTGCTAGAATCAGATTTAGCTTTGGGAGCAGGGCGAGGGAAACTATTGAGTGATGCTGGATTAGCACTCCTACTCTTTATAGAAGCAGCATGTGTTCATTGTCTAGATATCTGCTGGATGCACTTCAGTGCATTAGAAACTCCCCTGCTGGTCTATTAATAAAACATTAAAGCGCAACAGACTTTGATTTATGTATATGTGCCCCTTTTCATCATTACTCTCCTATTTTAAAGGTAAAATGGGATATATATTTGTGGTTGGAATTTAAAATCCTGATATTTTTCTATTTTACAGTATGGGATGGAGCTGTACCAGAACTTTATCCAGCCACACCAGAAACAAAAAGCTTCACCAATGGTAGGCTGAAATTCTTTTTATGATTTATCATTTTGTGATCTGTCTCTTTCTCACACATTTCTGCCCATAACTGAGTGTATTTAATTTGCCAAAAAAACACTGTAAACAACGTTAGAGTTACATTTGACTGATAGCAATATATATATATATTTTTTTAAATAATATTAATAATATTGTAAATTATTTTGGCAACTTTTATGAATTTATATCAATGATAGTTTCCAAATAAATGGGACCCTCGTGGTGAAAAACCCACAAACAATTCCCTCAACATATATGCTAAAGACTTTTTACCTCTTTTGACATTCGCTAATGGTGTTTGATATTTACTCAGAAGGAAAGTGAAAATTGGATATTGTTTAGGTAAAGGTTTGCTTAAATGTTTGCCTTTACAAATGTTTAAGGTTGTATAAGGCCAGTTTTTATTTTATAGAGTGTACTACAGCTCCCAGGGTAGCAAAAAAAGGAATTTCCATGTGTCAGACATGTGTTAGAGCCAACACATAGCAATGTAGTAATATAATTGCATAGGACAAATGAGGCACCTTCAGTGTGTTCATGTGGGTTTGGTGTCTCAGAATAGCCTCAGACTCTACTGGGAATATTTTCACAGCAGTGAACACAATCTATTTATGGCCTTTGGACATGCTCGTGAACCCTCCAATTTCTAAAAATACACAGTGATCAGCTGCTCTCAGATTTAACAACTCATCACCTCTTCTCTGCTGTCAGAGGGTCATATGTGACCAGCCAGGAGGATTAGCCACAAAGATAGGGGAGAACAAGAATCTGCCAGATGCGGGGCAGGTTGCTGAGGCTACGCAAAGATTTACCGTAGATAAACAACTGATTCATACGATCACTATAGTAACTATTATTAATAAGGAGTAAATTAATTGTTAATTTATTTTTTGTTTATAGTTTTATAAAAAAAAGGACAATTTATAATGTGTACTAATAATAATTCATATTGCTGTTATGTAGGCAATCTTTGTTTATAGTTGCATTAATACTTCCATAACACTTTATACCTAATTATATACTTTTTAATGATCACCATATGATTTGTAAACCTTTTAAGAAAATTGTTTGTTAAACTTGTGGAGACATTCAGATATGTGTAACACTATAAATGGTTAATTATTGTATTATTAGTGTTGTTTTTAAATGACTTAACCAATTGTTAATAACTATTGTTTAGTGAAATCTTATCTATAAACTATTTATTGGTTGCAACCTCATCATAGATATCTAAAGAATGTTTAGAAATGGTTTACACAATTTATTTTGAAAGGTTTACACATTATTTGATCAACATTAACAAATACTTAATATAATATACATAACTTCATAATATTTTCAACATATTTTAAATAAAGTAATCAGAAAGTAATTGTCTTATCGTCTGTGATTCAGTACCTAGTTTACAGTATAAACACATGATTTGATATCTAATGATAAAACGTCAAACATTGTAGTATCACTAATAATTAGTCAATATTATTATTATTCATGTCAATGTTTGTTAAACATTAAGTAATTCCTGACCTAAGTTATCTTTTACCCTTTATGAATGATGGTTTCATAAAGTGTTACATGATAAGATGTCTATCATTGAAAATGGGTCATAGTGAATACGATGGGTAGGGATGGCCTAGCCTCAAAGTAAGCACTGGTCACTTTGTATTAAACACTCATTTAAATTGTAGGCTTCGTAGGTGGCAGAGGAAAAAATGTGGTCATTTAAAAGCTTCTCAGTATTTCTGATAAGAAGACATTTCTTGGGTGTGTGCAGTGAGCCACTCACTATATGGCAGCTTAAGGGGCTAAAATGTGCCCATGTGTCATTCTTTTCAAAACTACTTTAATCCCTTTTCAATGGACTTCTTTTTCTGTGTGGGATCATCCAGAAATGATGAAGATGGAGTCACGTTACTCAGACACTAGATGGCAATACAATACCAAAATAGAGCCAAAGAGATTCCATGCTAGAGAATAAAATGGAAATCAACCCTCCATAAAATTGTATTGAGTTTGATAATACAACATTGTTATATCATGAGTAAAGAAATACCAACATTACTAAGGATTGAATTAAACAAGCATCAATCAGATAATACAAAATTGTATATTGTGCATGCAATTTCAGAGGAGCATCTCAGAGAATTCTCTGGTGGCCATGGACTTTTCTGGCCAAAAGAGCCGTGTGATCGAGAACCCGTCCGAGGCGATGTCTGTGGCGGTGGAGGAAGGCCTGTCATGGAGGGTAAGTCTGTGAATCACTATTGAAAACATTTCATCTTTACATTTGGTGAACCTAAGAGTTATTACGAATTCATAATGTTTTTTTGATATAAAAAAGCATACACAATATCTTAGCAACATAAAAACGTATACTGTAGGGTTGATGGTTGTGTCTTTAGAAAAAAGGATGAATTAACTATCAATGTGACTACAACTAATATTGTGGCTTTTATTTCTGCCTCAGAGGAAGAGCTGCCACCGTCTGAGCGGCCATGGGAGCCCCTCCACATCACACAGCTCTTTGTTAAACATGGGTCTGTGGGTCACTTTTCCTTTTTGTCATCTGTACACACGTGAAATAGATAATTAAAAAAGGAATCATTCAAAGTATATCCATTTTTTTGTGCTTCAGCTCTCCACTTGGGTCAGCCCTGGTTCCACGGCAAATTGTCGAGGGAGGAGGCTCAGCGTATAATCACTCAGCAGGGTCTCATCGATGGGTAAGGAGTTTTTTCTCTGTTTTCATTATGTAATTAAATACATCAGGTTTATTGTGAGAAATTAGACCACTGGGCTTACAGCATTTGGTGCAACCTCAATCTTTATATTTTAATATCCTCTTCTATGAAAGTACTTTTAAAAAATATATTATATTTAACAATACAGTAGTTTATAAATAGTCAATGTAGAGTCTTCAAAAAATATTTTAAAAGACATTTGTATGATTTAGCATATTTACATCTGGAAGCAAGATAATGGAAGCAGATCTCCAAAAAGAAAAAAACAATGGAGCTAAAGCAATATTCCTTTTTAGTCCATAATAGACGTCTTACTTTTTCAAATACTTGTAAATGCCGCAACATGTTGTATAGATTTTATACATATTTTAAATAGGGTTTAAGTGATACAACAGTGAAGAGCTTTCTTTTTGTTTTCAGAATGTTTCTTCTGAGGGACAGCCAAAGCAACCCTAAGACTTTTGTACTGTCGCTGTGCCACATGCAGAAAATTAAACACTTTCAGATCGTACCCGTGAGTACAATTCACTGTTCCTATATACAAGGTTATTTTTTGATATACCTTACCCAACTTCCAAATGTAAGCCTCATACATAATTCAGTATATATACACTGTCACAATTTTCTTTTGGCAGATTAGAATTTCAGATATTTAAAGAAAATCTGACGTGCTGTTTCCAATTTCTTGTTAGAACTATAATTGACTTTATATTCAAACATTTTTGAACATTTTTTCAAATGGAAGATTAAATTGTGTTTCATAAATATCATAGGAGAGTTATTGTGTTATGCTGTGTATGTAGCCCTATTATAGAGGGTCCACTATTTATTAGGCTAATATGTGTCCATCTAAACCCTTGTGTGGATGTGAAATGTAAGTATGTTTGTGTGTGTGTCCCCTTCAGGTGGACGATGATGGGGAGTTATTCTACAGTCTGGATGACGATCAAACACGCTTCACCGACTTGATCCAGTTGGTGGAATTTTACCAGCTAAATAGAGGGGTGTTGCCCTGCAAGCTCAAACACCACTGTGCCCGTATCGCCCTGTGAACAAGGGACCCACGAGACCCCCGAGGGCCCAGATGCACCTTAACTCCATGGCCTTTCCAGACAAACACTCCCAGTGTTCTTGTGCCTTGAAGAATAAAGACATACAGCCATACTAACTGAAACCACTGTTATAATCCACTATCATTGACATCCATAGTCTGCTACATGGGCCCTCCTTCTTTGCTTTGAAAGCTGAATTTAAGAACAGACCACATGTGCTGTTGATTTGCATTTTCTACCGTGAAGGGTGGTGGTAAATCCATGGTCCAAACATGACTTCCTGTACTCTGCATTGTAGAGCATGTGATACATTTTTATTTGAAATTATATCATGCAAGACATTGTCATACACAACACCTCTGTCCTCTTAAATTTGAGCAAACCAAGCTATCTTTCTTTTCTTTGTCATTGTATTTTTAAGTATTCAGGTATTTTTTTTGTAAAATAAATTGCTGTTGTTTTCTATATGAGGGCTAAAAGGACCTCTCAGGAAGTGCCCCTGTGCATGCCCAGTGAGTGGGATCGATACTGCTGTAGAGGGGAGAGGAGACGTGATGTACAGGTGGAGAGACATAGCACACAACCTCACTGCACTGTACATTCATTTGAAATGTTTGTGATTAAATGAAATGTTTTTTTACATGACTTTAATTGTGAGCTTGTTCTAGAGTGAGAGGAGTGACATTTATTTCACCAGTTTTAGATAAAGCCGTTAAGAAGACTGATTTTGATTTCAGATATACATTTTGAAATACTTGGCTTGGTTGTTGGTGTTATTCCCACTTCTGTGGACACTGCCATTAACGCATCAGCTTTTAATAACAAGGTATTTTAAATCAGTGACATGGTTGAAACACCATCTAATGTTAGTTTAATTATTTTACAGCTGTACAACATTGCATTGAACAATAAATACTATGGACTGCATATTTTTATATATATATAAACAAAGTCTGTTTGTAAGATTTTATTGCTATCATTCATTTTTCTATTTTAGGAAAATATACAATGTAGCCTACACATAGTGAATGTTAAAATCACGTTACTGTATGTTGTTCAGCACAGTAAACTCTGATCTGGGACACTGAAGCAAAAAAGTATACATTATAGTATTTTTATGCTAAATGGGCCATACAGGGTTATGATAAAAATGAAATGACAGACACTAAATCTCACTATAAAACGAAAAGTCCACCTTAGCTCCCTCATCAGCACACAGTGGGGCACTTTACTGCTAAAAGAGATTTTTATAGTGAATACATAAGTCATGATTCTCTAATGAGATCCAGCACATAGTTAAATTTAGTTGCACTATATAGCTTGTATGGGGCGCATTAGCCTAACATTGTCTAGTTTGATTTACTGAATTCTTTGGGCAGCTTATGTACAGTATAGAGGTTGTACTACCACTAGATGGTACTACAAGCATTTTGCTTTGGCTTGTCCAGGTTTAGGTATTAAATCATAATGTGTCTTTTTTTAGTGCAATTTCAATTACATAATAGATATCAAATGTGTCAAAGATGCAATGTAGGTTCTAACTGCCTTAAAATAAATTGTCTTAATATTGTACATTAATGCAAATGCTTATCTGGGGGAATTAAATGATACATATAGCAGTAGTGAGTAAGTAATGCATTGAAGCTGATCTAAGTTTTATTTACAACTGACTCTCAAGGCGTTGTAGAATATGATGAAAAGAATAGTAATGGCTATGATTGGTACCTCCACAACAGTAACCAGCAGAATGCCTTGTCTTGACGCATTCATGTTAACCAGTCTTCTCTGTTGTGATACAAACACATTGCCCCTATACCTCCCCTGCTCTACTTCAATAGCACATTTTGAAACAGTGCTCACATCCAGGGGAGATGTGCGCACACAGAGAAGTCTTAAATGCACCCCTGCTTCCGAGGTCTTGTGCTAAATGTTGTTTTGGATGTATTCCTGCCATTGATCGGAGTCTGGCTGCAGGGGGAGAGATGGCAGCTGGGAGAGACTGCGCTTCCTTTAATGAATTCATCCAGCTCCATCCTGCCCAAACGGCCTGTGGATACAGCATTTCTCCCAGTAAATAAAGAGCCTCTCTTCGCTCTGTCTCTGGCCCTCACGGACAACCACCACTGTTCCTAACACTTCTCAGAGCTACCCTGGATTTACTCCTGCCTGCACTCTCACTCTTATGACTTCAGGTTTCACACTTCAGAGTTGTCAACTTCACTTTGCTCTTAAATGCCCCTCTTGTTTTATTCCCCTAGTCTGTATTCAATTATCTGGCAGCACTGTCTTCAGCCAATTACTGATTATCTCCAATGTACTTAAGACCTTGCTGTTTGCTCTGCTCTTGATCCACAAGAAAGGGTATTATCTGGGTACGAGTCAAGGCAGTGTATGAGGCCAGTTTTGTTTAGGGGATGCGCTATAGTGAAGGTTAGAGGCTTAAACTGTTCTTTTGCAAAGGGCTCTCCCATCAGGGGTATCTAAAGCCAAAAGCAAATCCAACAGTGCTCTCTTTTGTAGCTTCACATTTGGACTGAAACAAAGATAAGGTGGAGAAGAAAAACATTTTTAAATATGTAAATTATTCGTATCTGTTTTAATTATTTTACACATAGTTCCGAAACATAGTTACTTAATAGTATATCTATGTTAGGTCATACAAATAAAATAAAAAAATCGTTTTAGACACTGATTAATCTAAGAGCAAAACAAATCAAAAGCTTTCGGCAGGAATAATCCATTAACTGTTCATGATGTACCTTTAGAGTAAAGATTAAGGCAAGTGTTTATGTCGATGTGTATCTGTATGAAAAAACTAATTATTGGTAAGAAAACACAGGAACAGCAATACATTTTTCAGAAGCACACCATGTTTTTACCTCTTGGCCCAAAGAATGCTATGTTTCTATATGTCTTCTTTTCTGTTTGTACCATGGATGCATTATGTGAATTGGTTGCAAGTTAGTCAATGTGTCTAGTTATTTCATATATACAGATATTTTTCAATGCCATACAGACGTTTCTGTATGTGATGCTCAAAATGATGAATTGACAAATGGAAAAAGGTTAAAAAATAAGCTCTATACCTAGGTGTCAATTTGATGTAGATGATGGGTTTTTAATAAAAAGAGAAACTTTTGATGTAAACCAAATACAAAGGTGACATAAAATGTATGCCTTTTATATCTTTTCACAAAAGGTGATAATTTCGATACCGGGGCTGTGCTGTGGTGAAGGGGGATTTTCTTGGTGTATTGAGCATCTTTAGTAATGTATTACGGCTCAGATAATTGCCCAGACAGTGCTTGCTCTATAAATCGCCTTTCTAACCTCTGATACATTTTTCTGGGGGTCTCGGAACTGGCAAACGGTAACTGCCAAGCTTTGTTAATTACAAGGATAACACATGCACTCGTCAAATAATGGATGTGGTTTGCAATTTCAAGTTTTAATAATCAATTACTGGCAGTAATTCTCTGTGGAGTCACAGGATAATCATTAAATCTCAAAAGGCGGGACGCACGCAATGCAGCTTTCTTTAAAGCCCTATTTTTAAATACATAAGGGAACAGGGTCTGCTTTAATCCGGTGCATTTTGTTGCCTTGTTACAATGTAAAGTAGCTCAGTTAGAAACCAGACAGCGCCGCTTGTAAAATAAATGTTAAAGACAGTGAATGATGAATGATCATATTAATGCTTATTCCTGCAGGGATTGAGCCAACAAGGACATGAGTGGAACAAGGTTTCCGTAAAATTGCAGATCAGCTTGTTTTTTCTTTAAAATGAGTTACTGCTTTCATTATATAGAAGGCAAAAGTTTCATTTATTCACAAAGTCCTTTATGAACTCACTTAAAGCAGACATTTCTATTTGTTGTAGTTGGGCTTGAAACATCTCTGTAACTGGCCTCTTTGATCTTAGCAAACAGATAAATGTAGTGGTATTGAATCAGTGTCCTCTCTTTTCTCCCTTTCTATACAGCAGGGTTCCTGTTATTGTATTTTCGAGTCCACCTTCAAAGCTGAAACATTGCAGAGGTTCTTCTTGACCTTGAGAAATTAACATGGGAGGACTGGCTTTGCTCTGAGGGAGCCCTATAGGGGCCACGTCCCCTCCTAATCCCCAGTTGAAAGGCATACCTCTACTGCCCAGACAAAATAGTAACATCGTAGTGAGCCAAGTGTTTACACTAAATACTCCTCTTATGGTGCACACAATGAAGGACAATATATTAGGCATTTAACATTTAATTATCTTAGGTTCTCTTATCCAGAAATGTTTTGTTTGTGTGTGTGTGTGTGTGTGTGTGTGTGTGTGTGTGTGTGTGTGTGTGTGTGTGTGTGTGTGTGTGTGTGTGTGTGTGTGTGTGTGTTTGTGTGAGAGAGAGAGAGCGAGAGAGAGAGAGAGAGAGAGAGAGAGAGAGAGAGAGAGAGAGAGAGAGAGGGGAATGGCCCTGCACAGATGAACAAACAGTGAATCTGAAGTGCAGCACCCTGTGTGGCTGCCCACCAACTGAACAACATTAAGGCAGTCCTCCATGTAAAACCTGCTCACTTCTCCCACAAACACTTGAGTTTGGCAAATGGGCAGCGGCTCAGCAGGGAGGAGCTCTCACTTGAAGGCAGACAGTGAGCTGTGGACAGCAGGGAGACATAAACCACAGTGTCTGGTGGTGATGGACTGATGTTTTAGGTGATCAAAAGGACGGATAAGAAAAGGGAAACGACAGGGGTAACACCTGGAGGGGGTCTCTGAGAGGAAAACATTTTGGAATCTAAAGCAAGAAAGACATGAAAAGTAAAGTGAAGCTGAGATGTTTGACAGTGCAGCACTTGGGGTGAATGTTATTGTAAAAGTGGACACAAACTCTCAAATTCACTTTCCTGTGATCGCTATCATTCACGACATAAGATGTATTTGAGAGAATCAACCAAACAGCATGATGTGATAGATATCATAGGTAATTCATTTCAGGGTTGAAGAGCAAAACTTGGATGATATATTGTCCTTGCATTTTTCTGAAAAATAGTTCAAAAGTGTTTACAGGGGCACACACAAATACACAAGTGCATGTGCACATGCACATTTACACACACATTGGATCAATTTACATTCCTGCCTACTTTTTTCCTCTCATTTACATGGTGTGCGAGTGACTCCTGAACAGGGTAGGAAGCCTTGTGGAAGAATTAGGAAATAGTCCATTTCTGAGAACACAGTGGAATAGAAGCAGAGCAGCATATGTTGGGATTTGAATGGTCAATCGATGAATAACCCAGAGCGATGTTTCTCAGTGCAGATTGGCAGGCATAGTGCAGTGCTATCTGCGTGCATGTGTGTAAGAGAGAGGGAATTCATCCTTCCCCAAAGTATTACGCACTGGTCAAAAATATTTGCAATGCCAGGAGGTATTTTGAAAAATATTTGAAAAAATTCAATACCATGCTGACCTTTTGCTGGGCATTTGTGAACAGATTCAGAGTGTAATCTGGCTCAGAGTCAGGGAGGATCTGTGTTAATTTACCATACAGTCAATTCTAAATTATGTTAATCTATTCTGCTTGTGCGTTCACTTTGATGTCTCTATTAAACATATTTTATATTATTTTACAAATTGAGGTGGCATACTACACATTTAACAAAAACAGAACATAAACATTTAATTACTGTACACTTATCAATAAGGTGCACACTAATATATATGCCTGCATAGTATGTAATGGAGAAACATTATATACAAATATTTGTTTCCTTTGTATTATCGACATCATATTATATGTTTTAAATAAATATAATACATAAATACATTTGCTATTTCACTTTATATTTGTATTTATGGTTATTGCAGATAATTCAATATCTGGTCTTTTGGATTTTCATACTGATGAGTTGATGCGAAATGTGCCTCATTAAAGT